TAGGGTCGCAATGAGAATGTGTGGAAAGCAATGGACTCCTCAAGACCTCTTATGGAATCCTTTGATGTTGCCTATCTCTAAAGGGACATCATACATAAGTGAACTCAGTGGCTTTTACAACAAGCCTCAAAGATGTCAAATTGTTGATCCACATACAGTGATGTCACAATATGTTCTTATAATCCAATATCTGGTGCAGGTATGTGCATCACAGCATTTTTTTGGGATGATGTCATCATTGCGTATTCATCTTCCCTTCTTGCCCTCCTTTCAGATTCCAAGATTGGACTTCGAACAGGTTATTGAACATCTGTAATGACCATGAAAACAGCATGGTCTGCTTTATCCAGGTTGCACTACAGCTGGACACAGGTTGATTGCAACAATTCTTATTCAGTCATATTTCAGTCACTATTCTAAATCTATATATTTGTGAATCTATCTTAATAGACAATGTGTATGATCAATGGAAAACCATCAATGCTATAATTTCTGAATAAGGTCAGTATTAGGGGAAAATAAGACTTACAAAAGCTGTTGGAGCTGTACATTTCAGACAAGAATCTCAAATTATCCTACAAATCAGAATGGCTTTTCAGTATGACATTTGTAAGAATTGGGTTTCATTTAATTTGAGGAAGCTAAATCCTAAAAGAATGGGAAATAAACTGTCAGCGTTCCAAAAAACATCCAAAATTAAATCAGAGTCCAAAGCAAAATATTGCTCAAAGTTCCAATTTATTAAAAGAGACATGTTGGCACATCTGTGAAAACCTGAATCTGAAAGCTTCCCGGGTTTCCCCACCCAGTTGAAAGTTCATGATCTTGCCCCCACACCCCCAAGTCCATCACATGGTCCAATCTTCCACTGCCATGCTGGCAGTTCCACCCATCTAGTTCCGGTCAGGTGCAGAGGTGCAAAGACAAAAGATGACCCTGGCTCTAGAAAGGAATTTTATTTTGACAACATCGCATTCTATTCCTTACTATTTCCTTCCCAATTCCCCACTAATGAAACAGCATAGTAAAATAAGAGAGAGTGTGGCAGGCCAAAGATCCAGAAAGGACTATGACTGCAGGCCTGACATAAACATTCTGATTAACTGGATAAGTTCCACCTTCTATTAGTTGTTTCTGCTTGTAGTTTTCTGTCACTGCTACTTTATTATTATTGGAAATCTCCTAAAGGTGCAGGAGCATTTGCAGAATACAACTAATGGCTGAGCAATCAAAACTACATTCTTTTTAATTGTGTGTCCCATGCATTGTACACACTTAAAAGAAAGTAGGGCTTTATCCATTTGCAGTTGCCATTGTGACATTGTTGACACATAGGTGTCTCTGTGAAGGATCACAACCCTTCCGAATGTTTCCAAAAGATTTGAAATACATAAATAAATGAATAAAATACACACATTGTATTCTAGATGCCCACAACTGTGTGGGATGGTTGCTTAAAGGCTGAATAGGCAAAACAGAAGCATGTTAGATAGTTGCATTGGAAAGCATTGGGAGGCTGGAAGTCAACCTGAAAACTGGGAGGAGGAGGAGGAGGAGGAGGAGGAGGAGGAGGAGGAGNTGCTATTGCTATTGAAAATTTAACTCATTAATCGCAGGAAGACCATAAGTTCCTCATTCCTGCTTTAGAGGAATGCTTTCAAAAAAATAAAGTCTTGCTACATACACTTTACAATGTTGCCGTTTAAATCATTGGTTTCCTACTCATTTCCACATTGCTAAAAAGCTACTTGCCCCAATCATTTGAAGCCCAAATGAAAGATTTTACGAGGCAGGGAAAATAATAATACCGTATTACTGAATCTGTATTGCAAAAACTGGAGTGACCAGCAGATGGGAGAAAAGAGCTACAAAAAGATCCATCTCTTTGTCACCATCTAGTGGTTGTTTGCAATACTGCAGTCTATACTGTATTCTTGAATGCTAATATAAAGCGACACCTCAAAATACATCGGTATTGCATGTTACATTTCCGTTACAAGTTTGTAATAAATTCTAGATTTTAATCAAGATAGTCATAAACCCGTACAGTGCTCTTTCTTTCAAATCCTTTCCATAGAGATTGTATTTTGCTGCAATATAGCAGAGAATGGCTCGTGTTTGCACCAGCTTCATCCCATCTATTTCCACCATGGGCACTTGCTGGAAAAGCAGGCATCCATCTGGTGAAAGACAAACAAGAAAAAAAAAATTCAGAAAATAGAAATTCAATTTAAATGAAACTAAAAAATGTTAATTGAATATTTCAAATTGATTTGACTGGCCTATTTAATATGCTTTACTATTTTTGTGCAAGGATTACAGCCTCAGGCTAGACAGCACACCTTAACAGAGCAACATCCACCTATAACCAGGATATTTAATTAATATGTATTAATTTCTGGGCTTCAACTCCCAGCAATTTTAGGAACAATTTTGCAGGTTGCGGAAATCAAATGAAGCTCATCATAGGAAGGACTCTTTTCCGAGCGCCAAGTCATTCACATTGTGGGGACAATTCTACTCATGATCCAAATGTACAGATAAGATACATGGAGCTAAGTAGTATAAGGAATAATAAAAAAAAATCCCTGTTTAGGATTGGCTCCAAAAACAAGCTATCAACAGCCCAAGCTCCCAATACATCTTTGCAATTGAGATGATGCCATTCAATTCACCTCAAACTCTTGGCCTGATCTCATGATAAAGTGGATAATAGATTTTATTTAAAATTTGCATCCAACTCACCACTGCGCAACTTCTCCAGATCTTTATTCGTTTCCAAAAATTGTTCTTCAAACTGCAATGCAGAAATAAAATGAAATGCTTTCTCCTTGTTTTAGAAGATCGTTTTGGAGAAAAAAACAGTAGCTCACGCTTGGCTTTTTTTTTGGGGGGGGGGGGAGAAACAAGTTGTGTTTAAAAAAAAACCCCACTCAAATATAACAGAGGTTTCCTATTCACGAGTAAAGGCTGGTTCAGGTTTTTATGAAGAAGTAATAGCAATAGCAATAGCAATAGCAGTTAGACTTATATACCGCTTCATAGGACTTTCAGCCCTCTCTAAGCGGTTTACAGAGTCAACATATTGCCCCCACAGTCTGGGTCCTCATTTCACCCACCCTGGAAGGATGGAAGGCTGAGTCAACCTTGAGCCGGTGAGATTAGAACCGCTGAACTGCAGATAACAGTCAGCTGAAGTGGCCTGCAGTGCTGCACCCTAACCACTGCGCCACCTCGGCTCTTCAAGTAATAGGTGCCTTTGCAAAATGGCAGAGGAAAGAACCTGTTGCATTTGCAAAGAGGCTATCACAACTACAGCACCAGTTTAAAAGGTCCCAAATCAAGGGTGAAATTCAGCAGGTTCTGACAGGTTCTGGAGAACCAGTAATGGAAATTTTGAGTAGTTTAGAGAACCGGCAAATACCACTTCTGGCTGGCCCCTGAGTGGGGAGGGAATGGAAATTTTGCCCTGCCAAGCCCACCACGCCATGCCCACAGAACCGGTAGTAAGCAAATTTGAATTTCACCACTGTCCCCAAATCCTTCAAGGTGGCCTGTAATTTCAGCCTCGCAGTTTTCATGCCCTTGTTCTGGAATATTTCCTTCAATTTCCTCACCTAGCACACGAACATTGCTAGTGCCCTTTGATCCAAATTCTAATCAAATTCAACTCTGCCCGAGCTTGTTACAATCAACCAAGGTCAGCTTTACAAAAAGCAAAAGGCTTTACAAGCATATCGCCTAAAAAGGAAATCAGCTCCGCATTTTTAATTGCATTGTAAAACATGGCTTTGATCTGGAACTCTAATCCCCTTTCCCGATTCTGATTTCATTGTCCAAACAGGTATATTAACCCTCCCCAAACTTGCATTGATTATCATCTCTCTCTCTCTTTTGTTTTTTGCACCCCAGGTGCTTTAAATTCACCAATCCAGAGACTCTCTCTAAGATTTTGAAAAATCCGTTTCACAAGAGAAAAGAAAGGGGAGCCCAAGGCAGAAAATATCTTAGGAATGCTTTGATTCTTGCACCTGTGGATGTATCAACCCATCCATTTGATGAAGAATCTGTTGCAAGGGTGAATCATTGGTTAGTCTCTGATGTTGAATGTTGAATGTTGATTTTATTTATATGCCGCCCTTTTCCCCCGAGGGGGACTCAGGGCGGCTCACAACTCAACCAGGGAAGGGGGATACAAACAGAAAATTAAAAACAACACAAAAACAATACATAATTTAAAATACACAACAGTCATACCAATTCGAGACGGGGGCAATAGTTCTTCAGCCCCAGGCCTGTCTGAACAGCCAGGTTTTAAGGGCTTTGCGTAAGGCCTGGAGGGTGGTGAGGGTTCGAATCTCCACGGGGAGTTCGTTCCAGAGGGTCGGAGCAGCCACAGAGAAGGCTCTCCTCCGGGTAGTCGCCAGTTGACACTGAGATGCCAGCCAAAGCACTGGCTGAATTCTGTGCCGTATGCCTGCAAAAAGCATGATAAAACAGACCTCAACTCCGGCTGCCGCGAGTAGCCAGCGGATAGATTCCATTTTCCCTCTTCCCCGAGTGTAGTGCAGTTTAGGTTTCCCTGCCATCTTTCTGGAAATTCTTCAGACTCTCAAACTCAGTTCAGTAGGAAGATGGGCTTTGTGGATGTCCTAAAAGAGAAGTGGAAGAGGAGCCATTATGAATCCAGAAGTCACTGCTTTTGCCACAAAAGTCATGAAATACAGTCCACATAGCATACCTCCCCTGAGATCCGGACCCTCCCCACTCTCTCGGCCTTCCGAAAGTCTATTAAGACCTGGCTGTTCCAGCAGGCCCGGGGCTGCTGATCCTTGATTGATCTCCAGCCCCACTAAGATTGAGTGCATGTTGTGTTTTTAATTTACTTTGTCTTGTATTTTAAATCCTTTTAATATTTTTTAAATTGTTTTTATGTAAGCTGCCCGGAGTCCCTCGGGATTGGGCGGCATACAAATCCATTAAAACCTAAACCTACCCTGAGCTGAACTTCTGGACTGATCTTCTTCAAGAAGACCAGGCTGTCACTTAATGGTTGGGTTCAGAAGTGGTATTCTACCGGTTTGGACCGGATCGACCGAACTGGTAGCGGAAATCGTGGGTGGCGTGGCCCTGCCTACCCACACCCAGCTCTATGGCATCCCACTTAGGCCCTTTTTTTTGCCAAAAGCGCATGTACGACCGCGAACAGATAGGGAAGTTACGTGTATACCATCCCTGGTTGGGTTCCCACCTTAAACAGAATTCAACAGATCTAATTTTCCTCAACGCCACCACCAGCAGTTGGAAAACCTGGCATTCTTAAATTTCTACTTTCCAGCCCTTCTTCAACAATGGAAAAGCCTTGCTAAAAACCCTGCAACCCATTTGAGAAGTTGACTTTAGAAAATCTAAAACTACGCTTTGAAGAATCAGCATCTAGCTTGAAAGTTAAGAAACCTACAACAGAACAGAATAACCAAGTTGGAAGGGACCTTGTAGGTCATCTAGTTGAACCCCACCCCCTCCCGCCCAAGCAGGAGACCCTACACCATCAAGAGCCGAGGTGGCGCAGTGGTTAAATGCAGCACTGCAGGCTACTTCAGCTGACTGCAGTTCAGCAGTTCGGCTGTTCAAATCCCACCAGGCTCAAGGTTGACTCAGCCTTCCATCCTTCCGAGGTGGGTGAAATGAGGACCCGGATTGTTGTTGGGGGCGATATGCTGACTCTGTAAACCGCTTAGAGAGGGCTGAAAGCCCTATCAAGCGGTATATAAGTCTAACTATTGCTAAGTCTAACTATTGCATTTCTGACAGATGGCAGTCCAGTCTCTTCTTGAAAGCTTTCAGGGATGAAGCTCCCACAACTTCCGAAGGCAACTTCTGTTCCATTGGTTGATTGTTCTCACTGTCAGAAAATTTTCTCCTTATTTCTAGGTTGAATCTCTCCTTGATCAGTTTCCATCCATTATTCCTTGTCTGGCCTTCAGGTGCTTTGGAAAAAAAGGTTGACCCCCCCCCCTTCTCTTTGTGACAGCCCCTCAAATATTGGACCACTGCTATCAGGTCTCCCCTGATCTAATTAAGGCTCCATTGTGGCTCAATTTTAAACCAGCATATCTCTTCTGTCTCAAAGCAATTTGTTTCAGCTTAGATACATCTCCCCCAAATCTACCAACTCCAGACAGCTTCAAGTTACCTATACAATCCCAAAAGTATCTAATATAATACTATATGCAGGGTCTGAATGTATCTGTAATTTGAAATCTAGCATAAACGTCCGTGTAGATCACACTGCTTATCATAGCAGGCACTGTAACTGCCAGAAGAAGCAATTAAAAGCACTCACCGGGTGTAACTTCTCTGCTGTGTAATTGTTGTGAGAAATGACTCCCAAATCAGCAAAGAGCCTGAAATTCTGCCCGCTTTTGTACAATAGCACCTTTGGGGAGGAGGGAATTGGACAGGGGGATATAACCCAGTTTTAAAAAAAAACCGCTTAGTCATACCATATCTGCTTTCAAGGATGAAGGGGTTCGGATTAATTTGTGAGCTAAATTTTGCAACAATTAAAAAAAAAAAAAACCTTGACAGAGCAGATGATTAACTTGGGTTTAGAGCTGGTGAAGGAAGGTCACTTATCAGGGTCATTCGTCAGCTATGCAACAGATAGACCATTCAGCAGGAATACTGTAGTTTCTTTCACACAAGGGGGGAAAAAATGTATCAGTTGAATTTCATGCTGTCATGCAGCTGATAGAGGGAGGAAAAAATATATATTCACCAGCCTTTTGGCCCCATTTTAGCTCCAGTCTTGACAAATTATATTTACACAGTTGTCTTGGTTACAAATTGGCTCTGCCAAATTGACTTGGGGCCCTTTCTGGAATAGCGAGTAGATTAGATAAAATCCTCCCTCGAGCCCTTTGATATGCACTGGGATCTTTTTGTCTATTTGTTAATAGACAAATTATTAATATATTAATGTTTTAATACTGAATGCTTTAACATTTATAACTTTTCATTGCCTTTATTGTGTGACCCGACAAAAGTGTACATGACAAAAGCGCGCCAACAAAACCGTGGCGTGAAAACCGCGATGTCATCAACGCGCCGGCAACAGAGCACTGACAGAAGCGCGATTTAAGTTAAGGTAAGGGTTAGGGTCAAGGTTAGGTTTAGGGTTAGGATTAGGTTTAGGTTTAGGNTCCATATTCCCAATCTGGCCAATCTCAGGTATGGCTCATACTACATTCGGAGTATAAGACAAAAAGGTGTGTCTTATACTCTGAAAAATACGGTAGTTGGGAACAGTCCTAGATTTTGAAAAAATAAATAAATAAACGTATTAGATTTTCCTAGTAAAATAAATGCTTTTTATTTTCCCAGTATGCTTTTCTGGCTAGATGTCCTGACTAATCCCTAACATGATTCTCATAGAGTGCAACCTTAAATTGAAGCTTTGGAAGTCCTTTCTCTTAGCTCCTGTTTACTCCCTAGAGATTTCTATTCACAATTTGACACCATCTGTCATCTCTAGCTAAAAGATGCTTAGCTCTGTCTTACCACAGACTCCAGATAATAAGCTGGCTATGTTTGTGGATGATATCAAACAATTCAGAGTAGCAAATTGAAAATGTGATTGTGAAAGGATTCTGAAGGATCTCTTTAAACTGGGGTGAATGGTCACCCACATAACAAATAGAGTCAATTTTAGTAAATGTAAGGCAATGCACAATGCCAAAACTCTTGTCTGAACATACAGTCCACTGATGTGATCTGAACTGCCTATAACTAAGAAAAGTATCTTGAGGCCACAACTCAGTAAAGATGTTGGACAACAGCTATGAAAAAGGCAAATTCTATACTAAGGATCATTAGAAAAGAGATTGCAAGTAAAACTCATAACTTGGTAATCTCTTTGTACACATCTTTATTTGCTTATTTATTTGTTAGATTAGTTTGCCATCCATCTCACTTAAAGGTGACTTGAGACAGTTTACAATATTAAAAACCAGTAAATCCATTAAAAATAAATGTTTCTAATAACAGTAAAAATTACGAGGAATGTTGTGCTCACATCTGGAATATTATGCAGAAAAACTGCTGGAAAATGTGCAGAAAAAGCCAACTAAAATGATCAAGGCATGCAAACTCTCTGGGATAAAAAAACTAGAATTTTGTATATTTGTGCATAATATGCACGGCATGGAGAAAACAATTGGGGGAAATTTTTTCTCTTAAAATATTGGTACCACGAATCCTTTGCTGCAGCTACCTGGAAGGAGAAGAGATAAAAGAGGTAGGAATAGCAATAGCACTTAGACTTATATATGCTTCATAGTGCTTTTACAGCCCTCTCTAAGCAATTTACAGAGTCAGCATATTGCCCCCAACAATCTGGGTCCTCATTTTACCCACCTCGGAAGGATGGAAGGCTGGGTCAACCTTGAGCCGGTGAAATTTGAACTGCCGAACTGCAGCTAGCAGTCAACTGAAGTAGCCTGCAGTTTTGCACTCTAACCACTGCACCACCTCAGTGCATAACTAACCTTTGGAATTCATTACTACAAGATCATGAATAGGTTAGGGTTGGGTAGGATAGGATAGACAACACAACATAATTCAATTCTTTATTGGCTAAGTGTGATTGGACACACAAGGAATTTGTCTCCAGTGCATATAAGATCACAGTGTAGCTATAAACAGCAAGTAATAGATCATGGATCCTAAATCATTAGAAACAAATAGGAGAAGATAGTAGGAAAAATGAGAAAAGATGTGAAATGATATAGCCCTCAGTTGACACAACTCACACCTGACCCATCACAAGACCCATCAAAAAGACCTATCACAAGACCTTACTGACCACACAAAGCCCTTATAAGTAGAAGATTATGTCCAGGATGTGAGGGGTCTGTAGATATGTTCTCAGCCCTCTTTCTCATTCTGCAGTATACAGATCTTCAATGGAAGGCAGGCTGGTGGTGATTTTTTCCCCCTGTCCTAACTATCCTTCGAAGTCTGTACCTGTCCTGTTTGGTTGCTATGCCAAAGCAGACAGTTATTGAGGTACTAATGACAGACTCAGTAAATCCTCCGTAGAACTGTATCAGCAGATCCTTGGGCAGGATGTGCAAAATTTATTGAGGCAGGAGTAGAACTTACAGTTTCCTTCTGAGCTATGAACCTTTCCTAGATTTATGCCATTCTGGGAAAATTGGAGACAGTTTGTGGTGTTTGTGGTGTTCTTGAGATGGTCCAGTCTCTAAACAGGATTGTTTCATCCAAAATGATGTAGGAGGTTGATGATTCTAAGTAAAATAGGATGGGCGCTGAATAGCATTTTTGTCTATTTTATTTTATTCTGTCTACTCTTTCATGCCAAGGGAGCTGTTAAAAATATAAACTTTTAAATGAAAATATGGTAATACCTTACTCATTTGAAGTAGGCTCTCAAGTGAAATTTATGCATGATTTGTTTGTCTTGTTACAATACTACTACTTAATTTTTTTGTCTGACTGTTATATACCTACTGTGACAAATAGTTAAATGTAATATTTTATTTTCTAAACAACTCTTTCAATTTTATATCTTATTTTCTTTCCTAGATATATGGGCTATTGGCTGTATATTTGCTGAGTTATTGACTTCAGAACCTATATTTCACTGTCGTCAGGAAGACATCAAAACAAGCAATCCTTTTCATCATGATCAGCTTGATCGCATATTTAGTGTCATGGGATTTCCTGCAGGTAATTCAGTGACCCTTAAAACATTATAAGAAATCTTTGATCTGGATTGTTTTCAATGAATTGATTTTTTTCTTCATGTATTCCATTCAAATACAATTTTATCATGGCTTTTGTTCAGCAAATTCATATGCTTGAACAGGTAGCCCTCAACCTAGCCCACAACTTAGCCCAAAATTTCCATTGCTAAACAAGACAATTGTTAAATGAGTTTTGTCCCATTTTATGACCTTTCTTGTCATAGTTATTAAGTGAATCACTGCAGTTGTTGAGTTAGTAATGCAGTTGCTAAGTGCATCTGACTTCCCCATTGACTTTGCTTGTCACATGACCCAAGGGCACTGCATCCATCATAAATACATGCCAGATGCCAAGCATCTGGATTTTTATCAGATAATCACGGGGATGCTGCAACAGGTGTAAGTGTGAAAAACTGTCATAAGTCACTTTTTTCAGTGCCGTGGTAACTTTGAACAGTCATTAATTAATGTTTCTAAGTCAAGTTACTGTAGAATACTGAGTTGACTATAGAATATAGAATTGACTGTTTCCAGTAGCTTATCTTGGGCTTCTTTAACATTTTCCAAATTTTTATTTTACAAAGATAAAGACTGGGAAGACATTAGGAAAATGCCAGAGTATCCTACACTTCAAAAAGATTTTAGAAGAACAACGTAAGTTATATATTTCTGGTCATTATATTTTAAATATATAATTATCGATAGTTTTTATTATTTTTATTTGGGAGGTTTGGTAGTAAGAAGAAGCATGATGTTTGGAGATTAAGTTTCATCCTTCTCTATATAATGGGATAAATTCAGTACAACCAAGAAAGTAATTTAATTTAGACAGTATGCTAAATCTCAATTACCATTTCTTTATAGAAAGAGGGAGTAAGTCATATTGAGACTTTTATTACAATACATAATTCTAAACCATGAGTTGTGGCTATTATACATGCACTTACCAACTGCAATTGAAACTGGCAACTAAACAACACAGTCATATGAAGTAAAACATCACATTACCATGCCCAGCTTATAATGTCAATTAAGCATGTGTGCCGTAATCATGACTTTCACTTCCTGCAAGCTTTCCCATTGATTGCTTGTTTAATGCCAGCTTTGAAGATTGGAAGTAGCAATCACATGTCTGTAGGATGCTGCAACCATCATATGTGTGCCCCAGTTACCAAGCGCCCAAATTGTTATCACACAACTTCAGGGTTGCTGCAGGCCACATGTTCAAGGACCACTTATACCAGTGTTGGTGAATCTTTTAAGCACCAAGTGCTGAAATGGGAGCATGCATGTGCACGCGTGAAACTGGAAGAGCAGCCGCCCGGTGTGCATGTGGGTGCCACAAAGATGATCTTCCGGTTTCCAGCACATGCATGGGTACCAACCACCTGGTCTTCCAGTTTCTGGCATGCATGTGCAAGTGAAGTCCAGCTGGCCAGTGTGCATGTGTGTACCAGAAACCGGAAGATCATCTTCCTGGCGCACACATGCACACCGGGCAGCTGCTCTTCCAGTTTCCCTTGCTCCCCCACATGTGAAGACCAGCACACCAATAGCAATAGCAATAGCAATAGCAGTAGACTTATATACCGCTTCATAGGCCTTTCAGGCCTCTCTAAGCGGTTTACAGAGAGTCAGCATAT